TACAGAAACAGGAAATGCTTCCTTCTCTGACTCCTTCTACTCTACAATAAGGTGTGTTAATTGCAGCATATGTAGACATAACTGAGCTATGTATGGTACCAGTGAGCTCAGGTCCTATGAAACCTTGGTCTCAGAAACTTCAACATGGCAAAGCTGGAGCTCAAGACTTCCGGGCTCTAACTTATTCAAAAGAGAGTAAGTCCCTGCTGTTACATCTTACGGTTGGTACCTGGCTTGCTAGATAAAAGCTAGGTCATGTATGCGCAAGGTGTGGTAATCACACCTCTGTGAAGTAAACAAAGCCTGGGAGACAAGTGGCTGTACTTTTTTCCAGCTGTCTGACATAAGTTAATTTGTCAGCTTTCATTTCTGTTGAAATAATTATTTCCAAATGTGGGATTTTAACATAAGAAAATACTGTGGTGCTTTTTTTAAAGAGACACTATTTTTTATATGAATAAATAAAGAACTGCTCAGTCATTTGAGTGGTCCCAGAGTCCACAGCATTTGATTGCAGCATCAGGGCCTAAAGCACAGTTCTTATACTATAGCAGTATTATATAATATTGCTTTCTGAAACCATACTAATCCTTGGCTACTGCAAAGCTGAGATGGAAATGCTTTTGAGGAAAAGTGAATACAGTAGCTGCAGTGAGTAGTTTGTCATTGTGCTGACAGCACAGTAAGCTAGAGGTATGACTAAGCAAAGGTAAACTAATTCTGTTCTAAAGCACTAGTATTTTTTTTCACCTCTCATTAGGGAATGCCTTCAAAAGACAGAGCATGCTATTTTCAGTTTTATTGCAGAACAGCTGTTGGGAGCGTGCTTAAATTGACAGTTTCTCTCCATGATGGCACTTATGCACTGTTCTTATTTTAAGGCTGCTGTGTAAACTGAAAACCTTTACACTTGAACTTCTCTCTAAAATCTTTCTCATGTTCTGAGGATAGGAACAGTTGTGATCAAAAAAATGAGACATCATGGAAAAGTGCTAAGAGCAGTTCTCACATAGTCCTTGTATCCTGCACACCCAAACCCTGGACCCTAACTTTCACTTATTTAATGTCATGTGAAACAGTATTTAGATTTGAAGGTTAACAATATACATGTATTATTGAACTGTTGGTACTGTGCACTGTTGTTAACTCACTATTTATTTATATATTGATGCATTTGTATTTTTTGAAACCTACAAATTTGAATAATAAGCAAACTGAGTATACTTTTTCTTGAGGGGAAATAGCCAGGCCAACAAAATACTATCAGTTTTTATAGGTTGTCAAAAACTTTCTTCTATGCTTTGAAAGGTGAGAGGATAGCACTCCTCAAATTACAGATTTTACAGCCTGTCTTCTTAGAGCTGTTTGCAGCATGCAGTCTTAGTCCATAATGACTTCTAATAAATGGTGAAGACAAACTTTTTACATACACCTTACTTCATGAAGAAAGCATGTCTTCCCTTACGTAGGGTCCTAAAACTGACATTTGGCAAAGGTTGTGAAAGATGCTTCTAAAATGCTGGTATAATGTAATCAACATTTCAGTGATTTATATTTGTTTGAAAAATTGTTTTTCACTTTTAAAAAAAATGTGAGGGTGGTTGTTTTATACATGCACACTTATTTTAAGTGTCTTGTCTCAAAATGCCAAGCATCTAAGTCACCGATAACTAGATTTTCAAAGAGGGTGGAGGGAACTAAGCACACAATGCCCATTGATTCTTTCAGCTGAATTTTGGTATGTAAATCCCTCAGGCTCTCTTAAAATCCCAGCCTTTTGAAGATCCAAACCATAGACAGCCATTTTTTAAATTTATTACCAAAAATCGTCTTTTGCTTGAACAAACCCTACGTTGTGTTTGTAGGGGGAAGGAAGATTAGAAAATTAGGCTATCCTCCCTGCATCAGTAAATTTGGGGCAAAGACTATAAAGCGGAGGAACAGTTGATATCTGTCAAAAAAAGTTTGCTTTTACATTTTTTGCATAGATGATGTGTGTTTAATATTGAAGTAATGTCACTTTTCATTTTCATTTTGCAAAAAGTTAAAAAAAAATCCTTCAGGTTAAAATTGTTCAGTATATCTTAACATTTTGCAGGGCTCCTTTTTCTTTTTTATCTCTTTAAAAAGTGCTACTGCAAAGCCTTATGCTTATGACTACTGAATTAGACTGTGTGATAATGCAGAGAGATTCTTTAAAGGGAGGCCTCAGGAGATAAGCTGATAAGGGAGGGTTCAGTCCCTGTTTGGCTGTTCCCTTGCCCCAACTGCCTGGCCCCTCTGGAAGGGCAAGCTCTGTAATAAATATGCTATTTTAAAAAAAAAACTCCATTTACAGAAGTTATAAAGGGGTGCCTTGAGTTTTAAAATGGTTGAGAACCACTGGTCTAATGTCTAGCTGCCATGCATTAGACATTCAGAGTTTACTTCCATGATGATTATAGCACCTGTCTAAAAAAGAAACTCATGTGTGAGACATGTTGCCATTTTGCCTTGGTTTAAATGCATTTAAAAAAAACCCAGAGGCATCCTTTCTTTAGGAATCTACTTTGCATAAACTCTTTCAGTGGCAGCAGCATTCACCACTCCGTTCTCTTGCCTTCAAATGGGGACGCAATTGTGAGTGAAACTCCAATTATGATCCACAAGCTGAACTGTTGGGCCAGTTTCTAGAGTCTGTCCATCCTTCCACTTCTGCTGAGCAGCTCAGTATCTCCCTCCCGTGCCCTGTCTCTACTTCAGTGATTCTCACCTAGGGGGTGAAAAGGGATGGATTCTCACCCAAGGGGCTGGGGAAACCGGGGATGGCCACCCGAACCTTTGAAGGGTGGTGTGAGCGGATGAGAAAATAAGCAAGTATGAGCAGTCTTGGGCTGGTCTGGATGATCTCCCTCATCTCCACTGTCTGGCCCCTCTGCCAGGAGGTAAGCACTGCAATGGAGATGGGGGAGATCATCTTTTTTTTTTACCTAAACTCGCCTAGAATTTTTATGAAATATGCTAGCTTAATATTTTAATTCCTGTTGTTTACTGAAACAGTTTGTTGTTCCAGAGGTTCCCAAACTTTTTCTTACGGTGTACCCCCTTCCAGATTTACCAGCTGCCCACAGATCCCAACCAGCATACATTTTATACTTTAACCCCTCAAATGCCAGTTATTATAATGAAAATTAAATCTGCCATTACACGATTCCTCCTGCGTACCTCCCAGAGATGTCTTGTGTGCCCCCAGGGGCACGCATCCCACGGTCTGGGAGCCCCTGCATCATCCTCTCTCTGGAGTTGCTGTTCTGCTACAGCTTGTGTTATAGAGAAAAGCTAATTTTCCGTATTTCTCCAGAATACTTAGGCAGGTGTCATTCATTGAGTCTCAGTGCTGTGGAGAAAACTTAATTTTCCATAATTTTCTGGAGAACATGTTTATGGAGTCTCGGCATTGCAGAGAAAACTAATTTTCTGGAATATATAAGCACGTCACTGAGTCTCAACTTTGTGGAGAAATCCTAATTTTCCATAACTTTTTGGCTTATATAAGCACATGTTGTTGAGTCTCTGTTAACCGGCGTTGTGGAGAAAACCTAATTTTCTGGCACACGCAAGCACGTCATTGAGTCTCAGTGTTATGGAGCAAACTTAATTTTCCATCATTTTGTGGAGTACTTAAGCACATGTTATTGAGTCTTGGTGTTATGGGGAAAACCTAATTTTCCATAACTTTCTGGCATACACAAGCGCATGTTATTGAGGCTTAGTGTTGTGGAAAGAGCCTAATTTCCCGAAATTTTCTGGAATAGTTGAGCACACGTTTATTGAGGCTTGGCGTTGTGGAGAAAACCTAATTTTCTGGAATATTTAAGTGTTTGTCATTGAGGCTTGGCCTTGCGGCCAAAGCCTAATTTCCCATCGTTTTCTGGCAAACGTAAGCACACGTCATTGAGTCTCGGTGTTATGGAGCAACCGTAGTTGTGGATCACTTTGTGTTGCACTTCAGCACACGTGTCTTGAGTCCGGGTGTTGTGGCGCAAACCTCACTTGTCCTCCTGCGGGCGGGCGGGCGTGGAGCGCGCGGCGGCCGGGGTGCGGGGGAGGCGGCTGCTGCCGGCTCTGCACAAGTTTCCTCCCGGGCGCCGCTGTCGGAGGGACTGGGAGCCGTCTCCGCGTTGGGCTTGGGCCCGCCTGGTCCCAGCAGTGCAGGGAAGGGGCACTTCGCGTCCGGTCGGGAGTCGAGGGAGGCCGACGCCCCGGCTTGTGCCGCCCTCTCCCCTGAGGCGCCACTCCCGCCAGCCGCTGCTGCGCCGGGAGGGGAGCGGGCCGGGGGAAGCGCCGCCCTCCTGTGGCCGGTGGAGTCTGGGGTCCGGCAGATGCGCTGGGAGCATGAGTGGCGGCAGGGCGGCGAGGCCCGCCGCGGAGCTCCTCCGAGGTGAGGGGGGCTCGGGGCCGGGCAGGGGTGAGGTCCGACCCCCACCCCCCGCCGTGTTGCCAGACGAAGGGGCCCCCGGACCCCTTTTGGGAGCTGCTCGGGCTCGTGCCCCGCCCCCTCGGTGCCCGGGTGCTTGCACACTGCAGCAGGACCTGTTTGGCCAGTGGCTCTTCAGGTCCAAGGTCTTTTGGGGGGGAGGGTTGTTGGTTTCTGAGGTGGTCCGTGGCGTGCTGGGTTGCTCTGTGGCTTCCAAAAGCAGTCCCAGGTTTCCACCTCTTGGTGTAGGGGTGCCTCAACCACAAAGCCTCCAAGAGGCAGAGGCAGCTGGCTCTCTCCTGAGCAGCTTTGCTGGCCAAGTCTGGGGAAAGCCCTTTGAATCCAAGCCTGCATAGTTTCCTTGGCCTCTGAAAAAATACGAGCTAAGCTGGGGACCACAAAAGGACGTTTTTATACGCCCCGCTCTAAAAGTTACTCATGTTCAAAGCAACATGTCTTTGTTTCTTTGTCTTCCTTTTCTTTTTTTTGTGTGGAAAGCTGTGACGTTGAGAGTAGTATTAGTTTAAAATCTCTTGCGTTTCAGATCGCCTTTATTTTGCAATTCTCTGCCAAAAACCAAAGAGTGGTGCTGCAAACACACACCATTTCTGCATAGATGACGAACTTGTATACGAGAAGTAAGTATAGCCTTCTTCTTCCTGCCTTCTACGGAATATGCCATGCCTTCATCAGGAGAACCCCAATGAGCAAGAATTTAGGAGTTTTAATTGACTGTAGGGAGCTTACCCTTTCAAAGCTAGTGCATTACACTCACCTAATTTTACTTGGAATAGAAGCAAGTTATTTCTGAAGAGGGTCTTCTGGCGCTCTACCCGTTTCTTTGCTAAAAAATTCCTAACATTTTCTAATTTTAATTATAGAGTGCCTTCCTGTTGGAAGATGATACAGGAACATGTTTTATTATAAAACACAATCCCTGGAATATTGAGCAAGAGCAGGGGTCAGCAACCCCTGGCACAAGGCCATTTTGCTCGGCCCACCACCGCCAGCCCAGGCTCTAAGCAGCTGCTGTCAGCCACAGACAGCACTCCAGCCAAAAAACGTTGCCTACCCCTGAGCTACAGGGATGTACTTAGTGGCCCAAAATATCTAGGAAAGAATATCTCAACTTCCTAGAACAGTAGTTCAAAAGTTAACAAAGGTGACTTCTCTCTTTAAAAGTTGGAGGTCAAAAAGTATTACACATTGAATTGCAAGTGAGATGGTAAAAGTCATTTATGCTGTCCATGGATGGTAATGAATAAGCATGTCCTTAGTTAAAACTTTCTGTTTAGCTTCTACCAGTTGTACTATATGCTGTCGGGTTTGTACATGTAACAGGGGCTCTAGATGCTTTGGTTTGTTTTGAGCACTTTGGAGATTAGTCCTGTAGAACTTTTTAAATGCCCGTTTGACAGTTTTCTGCTAGCAGAAACATTTCAGAATATATTCATGACCTTGTTTTAAAGACCTGCTTTTGTGTTGTCATTAAAATCAAGAGTTCCTGATGTGATGCCCAAAAATACTATTTTATTGTAAACTTCCAAACCTTGAAAATGTCCTTATTTTGTCAATTTTTTAGCTCTTGTGTGTAGAAAAAACCAAAAAGTTCTATAAGAATAAAGACTATAAAATTGTATTTTCTCCAGTGAATTAGCACATACTCCCACTGTACTCAAGTAAGGAATTTCAGCGTGTTTGTACCTATTTGTACTTAATAATGGTCTTCATTTGATGAATATGGGTTTTTAAACACATTTCTATACTGCATATACAAGCAAAATCTTTTCTTTTTTTTCCTTCCCCAACAAGCTTTTATGCAGATTTTGGACCACTCAATCTGGCTATGATTTACAGATATTGTTGCAAGCTAAATAAGAAATTAAAGGTAAAAAAAACTTTTTTTTTTTAGTTTTCATTTTAGTTGTACCAAATAGAAATCAGCGTGTGTGGTCATCTCTATAAATTACTCAGAAAAGATATATATTTATTTGAAGTGTATGATGGCTATTTAGGTTCTTGGTGAGATTTGTCATATAGATTAATATAGTGTACAGTTCTGTTCTAGGAGTTTGAATAGTGGAAGTGAGGGAAAGAGAACTGTTTGCTTGGAAGACAGTATACTATCAAAACAGTTAACTTTTAAATACTGGTACTGCTAGGTTTCTAGAAAGAAACTTTCTTGTGGTTAAAGTCTTTCAGGAGAGAGACTTTTCTGGAATTTGATCTTCTTGGCAATCTTTCATTTTCTAGTGATCTTCAGGGTACAGTGAAACACACACTTATATTTAGGCAAAAGGCAGGACAGGGTAGCTACCTTAGACTGAACCAGTGAGGTTCAGTCTCTGGCGCTACACTATCCTGACTTCTGCTTGACTTGAGACTAAGGCAGCTGACCTTTCTTCTTCTGTTTAGTTTTTGTACATTGTTTGCTGTTTATGTGTGCAGATTTTGACACCATCTCCTGTAGGAAGCCGTGTTTTGCTCTTTAAAAATATATATATTTAGGCCCTGGTCCTGAAAGGGAAATGAGTACTTTTAATTCTAGGAGATGAGGTTATTTGTTTTCTCGCAGGCAGTTCTCAGTACTTTTCAGGATTAAAAGTACTCCGTTCTAAATGGATTAGCAACTAGTTGCTCTGCCAGTATCTCCATAAATCAAAACGACTAAGTTAAAAATGTCCTATATCAATTTAAAAGGTAGTTGAATTTGGTCAAATTTTAACGGGTTGGTGTACAAAATTTGTTAGCCAAATTAAAGAGTTTGTTAAAATCCTTACTTGTAATTATTGCTTGCCTGTTCATAGCAATTGAATTATGAAAAGTTAGGAAGTAGGTAACACAGTAATAGCAAGATGCAGAGATTTCTCTGTTTAAAAGAAAGTTACATGCCAGCTGGACTCAAGTTACCTGCTTTGGATACATTTGTAATGCTTGTGGCACAATGAACAGATTTGATCATGTATGAAAATGTATACTTATTTTGCTTGCAGATCACTTTACAGAAGTCTGTGTTCAGAAAAAAAATGTGAATAAATTGTATTGAGAGAGGCTGGCAGCCTTAAAGGAACAGTAGGCCAAATAAAGCAGCTAGGGCTGAAGGTACAGTGAAACACATCAGGCTGCAACCAAGCTGCCTTTGCTGTCACTTCTGCAGCTGCTGCCTAGTTTTGTGCTGAGGGCTGCTCTCTAGTGCTTTTCCCCTCACTGCTGATTCCCATAGTCACCAACTGCCGCCAGGGATGAATTCAGCAGAGAGAGAAGCAGCAACTGCTGTAAGAAGACAAGAGAGAGACAGAGAGGAGAAGGGAGACCTGGGGCAGCAGCAGATGATATTGCAGCAAAACAGTTCAGGGGTAGAGGAATGCAGGGAGCAAAAATTCCTCTAGGACCTTGGCAGCTAGATAAAAGATGGGGAGTGCAGTTGGGATACAGTTAACTGCAAGCTGGAGAAGGTGAGTGAGAGAAGGCCTTTACTTAAAGGATCATTTTCAGCCCTCCCATTCATATGGTTAGCCTATGTTGCACTGAGGGTGGGAGCTGCCTGCTGCAGCTGTCAGCACCCTACACTCTGCCTTGTCCCCACAGGGAGCTGTTCACAAACAGTAGAAGTAGTGTGGGAAATAGGGTTTGCAGAAGGATACAAATGAAGGAGCCAGATCTGCTCTTGCCAGCTCAAACTTTCAACGTCTGTCATAGCAACATAGCTCAGGTCAAAGTGTAAACTGCCAGGAGCTGCTTTGTAAGAAAATTATATTAACGTTGTCTATTTCCAGGGCTCCTGAAAATGGGTTGACAACACAGGCCTCAAATAGAACATTTTAAAACAGGAAAACATTTGGCAGTGCACAGGGCTGGGGTTAGGAGATCAATTTTAACTACAGTGGAAACTATATTTATTTGAATAGTTGATTTAAATTTAAATTTCTGTTTTAAATTAAGTGCATCTTTCAAATGGTTAAATAGGTTGTAACACTTAAAATGACTAAAGAAAATACCAAAAAAAAAAAATTTAACAGCCTTCTACTTATTCTTCATAAAATCATTCATATTGTTAGTGAAATATATAGGGTTCTTTTTAATATTCACTTAAGGCATAACATGGTGAGTGTAACTAGCTTATCAATATGGTAGATATTATATTGGTACTATGCTACACTTACAGATGTGATCCTGCAAGAATACTGAGTACTACTTATGATTGCACGTGAAATAATGTATTTGGTTATGTCTTGGTCAGAAAAGCAATGATTGAAATGTAATTTTGAAAACCTCAGTTTTGAGGAGACCATTTGTTTTGGCCGGTTTTTCTTTTTCATTGATTTTAAAAAATTGTATCAGGCCATGTAGATTTTAAATCCAGAGTGCCAAATTATAATACTGTTATTCATTTCTTGATACAGTCGTTTACATTGATAAGGAAGAAAATAATTCATTATACTGGCTTTGATCAGAAAAAGCAAGCAAATGCTGCATTCCTCATAGGCTCTTACGCAGTAAGTATTTAACATTTTACTATAAAATAACTTGTTTCTTGTTGTTCTTCTACATGCAATTCTTAAAGTACCGAGTGATACCTTCCCTCTTAGTGTGGTGGGAAAGGTTCTGAAGGTAAGAATATGGCTTCTTGCTATGGCTTTTCGCATGAAAATTATCTTAACTCTTTCCCATCAAACTGATTAGAGTGGGGGAAGGGTGTTTGCAGGCTTGACACCTATGCTTCATAACAATTTTTGAGGATTTTGCAAAAGCCTCTGTGTGCTCCAAAGTCACTTAGGGTATTGTTTTTTTTAAAGTGCATGTCTGTTTCATTTTCGAGATCTTTTTATAAATTTCATTTTTTTAAACATTGGTTAATTCTTGATCCTTGATCCCATTTCTTCTGTTTTCTAGTGGACAACTGTTATGTCTTTATAAAAGACAATGTATTATTTCAGAGTTATATATTGGGGAATGTGTTGCTTTCCTGCTGGAATTTCTAGATAGAACTAAGAGCAACCAAGAAGACCACGTATGATGTGCTCAGAGTGGACAAGATGTTTTGGAGTATCGAGGGTGCTGGAGGATATGTTATCAGGTGTTTGACTGTGTAGGGGAAAACCTATAACTTTCTGGGTTTATATTGCCCTCTCCCAGAAAAAATGTAACGTTTAGTAAGAATTTCAAACACTTACAGTGAAGGACTAATGCACGGTGCTTGAGGAGGTTGTGATGTACTGCAAACCAATAACTATGCCTTGATCTGTGTTTTTCTTTTCATTTTGTTTCTTGACTTTTGCATTTCTCTTTTATTACTGATTAAAACTAAGGAGTAGGGTGAGAAGCATGTGCTCTTCATCTTACTGGAGACTTGAGAGATCAGATTTCATGCAGCTGTGAGTCATTCCGTTTTATTAGTTTGGGAGGATGTGTAGTTCTTGGATTTCTGGGAGTCTCCTTGCTGCTGGTTTGCATTATGCAGTAAGTCCATTTCCTGCAGCCCAGGATCTCTCCTAATTGCCCATCCAGTTATATTAATAAAAGAAATTGACAGTGTCAGCTTTTCAGTAACTGAAGCATCAGAAAGGTTTATTAATGTTCTTGTCCCTAGCATTCTAAAACAGAATGGAAACATGCAGAATACCTTGCTTCAGCTTAATTGTTTGCAGTTAGGGTACTAACTGAATAACATCAGCCACAGATTAAGCAAAATGTAATCTTTAAAAGTGGGTTGATTACACTATGCCAAAAAGTAAAAGGAGAGTGCTTTCTGTTATGGTCTGTTTCTTTTCTTCTTTTGCAAGCTTTTGAACTGAGTGCGTGTGATATTTGTTATGTGTAGCAGAGCTATAGTCTTGCATGGCAAAAAAAAAAAAAAGCAGAAGTATTTAAAACTAGTGGCAACTTGATCTTTAAAATTAAAGAATCATACCTCATAATTCATACAGTGCCCATGCCATACAAAGGGTACAGTGGAGGGGCACGCTTACATAAATGTGCATAAAAATATTGGACTATGTTGTTATCCTTAATCGTGTATTAAGGTGAACAGAGAATAGAAGTTTATGCCAGGCACTGAACAGAGTAGTAAACTATTTCTGTCACAAAGAGCTTATTATCTAAATGGATAAGATGGGCACGAAGGGATGTAACACATGAATAAAGTTAATTGGAGGAAAATGTCACGATAGTTGCATGACTTTTTGAAATGGTATAGAAGAGGGAATGGGACAAGAGGGGCTGGTTTGGAGTGAAGTTGAAGTGAAGGTACTGAGAAGGGTGGGATGGTTGGTGCAAACAGTCAGCTAACACAGAGCAGAAGAGTGAGTTCAGTCATAACTGTACAGTGTTCTCTGCATGTCCACAAGTTCTGTTTTTTGGCTGTTTCTGTACTTGTGGGGTAGAGTCTCTAGTCTAGGTGGTGCCTCTTCGCAATCTTTCTCCAATACCACATGGCAGAGGGAGGAGAGGCATCGCATTGATCCTAGTGCCTTTCAAATGGGAGCAGGTCTTAATTGTACAGTTTTAGGTACTGCAGAAGTGCTACTGGGTGGATCCCATTTTTCTCTACTGAATTGCAGTTTCTACTTTTATTCCATCAGCTGGATCTTTTCTCAGGTTAATATGGTGGGGCTGTGACTTCTATCAGATGAGTGGCTTATGTTCAGTTGAGGGAATGTGTTGGCCACATTTGTAGGCTGGGGAAGGGAAAAGTCTGCATGGAGAAAGATTGCGTGCAGAGGATGTCAGTGAATTGAAGAGCCCTGTATAATTGCTGTAAGAGAAAAGAATACAAACCAAGGTGTGTTTTCATTATTACACTATCTTGTCATTAAATAAGTGAGTTCCAAATACTCAAGTTTTAAAATCCTTTTAAATGCTTTACATGAAGAATGTAAAGAATGGTATTCCTGCCATCTCAAATTTCCTGCCAGGTCACAGGAGTGAAACAGTTATACTTAATCTCTCCTCTCAGATACCAGTAAATGTAGCAGCATAGGTTTGCTGGAGGGACATTGAGTCCCTTAGAAGTAGGTTTTAAAAACTGCTGTGGTTATGACTTTTGAGAGCTGATGGGGAACATTTTTCATGGAATGGTCATATTTATTAGTCTTGTGTGTGTTGAGTGACTGCTTTTAAAGACTGGTCAAATTTGAAGTACAAGCCATATCTCTGCAGAGATGCATTTAAAAATGAATTGAAGATTGGCATTGAGAGAGCAGTCAACACAGCTTGGTAGAATTTTTAATGCAATTAACTGGTACTTCTCTTAAGTTGAATGTCTAAAATTAAACACAAGTAACCACTCAAGTACTATACCCTTAATACTAATTGGAAAGTCTGTTGTTTAAAACCTGTTTCAACAAAAGGTGAAGCTTGCCAATTTGCATCATGAGTAGTCATAGGCAGATGTGACAACACATCTGCTTAAGAGTCAGTGCATATGGTAGCAACATCTATCTTTTGGATTTTTTCAGAAAAGGGAAAAATCTCTTGAAGCAATGCTGTTCTGCCTTTTTAAAGGAAGTATTAAAGTTCTAGTTAACTGGGGTGAGGTGAACAAACATGTACAAGCAAAACTGGGTTCCCATTCTTCACAGCTGGTGGTTTTTAAAATGCTTTTCCATCATTTAACTTGCCTTCCTTCTATCTTCAGTTAAGAGAGTTTCTGAATAAGCCTTCAAGGCTAAATGCTGTTTCTTCTGCTCCCTTAGAGGTATGTGTTGATGTACCAAGTCTAGCTCAAGAACTGGGGCTCTTCATTGTAAAAACATCTTAAACATGAAGAGCAAAGTTTTAATTTTTTTTCCAACAAAATAAATGTATTTAACAATAAATGCCCCAATTTCATGATTTGGCACCTTTAATTATTTTTATTGCTGGTCCTTCACTATACTTACTATACATAATGTCATAGTCTGTTAAATTTTCACTGAAGTTATCAAAGTGAATAGTAGGTATACATGTGTCTGACCATATCGGACTAGGGCATATCAAGCATGTTCAGTAGCACAGAAAGTATATTGCACTGAAACAAGAAGTCCTGAGGTTTAAAGTATTTGCTTTAATTTTCTTAAAGCTTTGCTCTTAATTGTTAAAACCAGATTTGGTTTTATCTGGAAGTCATCTATGCTCTTTTTGGCCTTACTCTAACAGCCAGCAGAGGTTCTTTGAGATGATCTCTACAGTGGTTTCTTTTAATCCTCACCGGGACTTGTGTGTGGATGAAGAAAGCTGCCTCTTTACATTTTATTTCAACTGTATTAAAAAACAAATTTTACTTTTCATGCCCCACCTACCCTGGCTCCTATCCCTTTTACTGCATTGACTTAGTAACAGTGTTTCTTTTCTCAGGCCTGGCACTAATTATGTACTTGGAGGGCAACCCTCCAGGGGTACCGCCCCAAGAACTGCTGTAATTCAGGTCACCTTCTCCAGGACTCATCTCTGTACTTTGTCTATTTTCTCACCTTCTTTCTTCAGGGTAAGCAGTGTTTCCTTCACCCATTCTGATCCATAGTATTGTTTTTGCTTTGTTAATTTACTAGTGTCCACTTCCTAGGTGTGACATTATTTTGGGTAGAAGGGGAGAGAGCTGTAGGAAACAATAGCTCCACTCTCTGTAATGTTTCTGTCTTAGTGTGGCAGAGAGATTTATCTCCAGCCAGGAGTGAGTATGGAAAGGAGTTGACTCTGTAGGGGAGGGGTGAGGTGTGGGCAGCGGGAGGTTGGGTGGAGAGAAAGGGTAAGTGGAGCAGAAATATAAAAACTCCTTTGCTTATTATTTATTTAAGTAAAAGCTGCCTGAATTAGTCTTTCTTCTCCAGAATTTGTCATTTACGATAGGCCTACAGTTATCATTATTATTATTTTTAAAGTTACCATGGTGGCAGTTTTTCCTCCATCTTTAAAAGGTGGTTCTTGTTAATGTACTTTCCAGACTGTCTCTTTGGTAGAAGCAATGTTGTTTTCTAGGATGCCTTTCTTTCTGCTGCCTTTCCCTTTTGACATTTTGTAAGCTGGGGTACATCCCAGTATCTCTTCACTAATCTGTCCTCAGGTAATGGCTTTCTTAGGCTTACCTCTCCATTTGCAAGGTTTTTGAAGGTTTGTTTTTCCCCCTCCCTTTCTTTCAGAAAGAACTAGATGAGGTGCCAGAGATGGGAGGGTCACTGCTCTTGGACCTGTTTTGATTAATATTTTTGTGCACATGCATGTAATAAGAGACACTTAGCTATCACTGACCACCTGCATGTTTTATCCTAATGTAAGAGATTTAACTTTTATTCATAGGCTAGTTTTTCAATGTATTTTTAATCTTTTTGCTACAATCTGAATATTCTCTTGTAAGAATAATATTAAAGTGAAAAACTATCAGTTAAATTTTAGTCAACTGAGAACTTAGGTTCTGTATTTGCAAACAAATTTTAATGCAATATAAATATTTAATGCTAATAATTTATGGATCAGTATCATAATATATTAGCTTTTACATTCAGAGTGGGGTTTGTTATTT